CCTCTGGAACGGCGATGGCGTCGGGAGCGTTGTGGAGGCCGCTGCTGCTCTCGGGGTCAGCAGGGAGCGAAGCGGAGCCGGGAGCTGCGCGATGAGCGTTTGCCGGAGAGCTGGGAAGCGAAGCGGCGCGGTTCCCGGAGGTCTCGGCGTCGGGGCTCGGTGCGGTGCTCGTGTTGGCGTCCGGGTCTTTGTTCATGGGGTCGTGGATCCCATCCTCGTCGCCAGTGAAAAGTATGCAGACGGAGAGTGATTTCAGCTAAGCATACCTTTATTTAGTTCAGGACAAAGACGAAGGGACCAGCTCGCAGGCTGGTTATATATGTTCAGAAAACCCGCCACCAAGTACACCTAAACACACCCCCTACTCCCGATAGGCTATTTACAGTAACCGGGCGACCATTGGTCTCCCGGCTGAGAAGCTGGCCCTTTGATTGGGCCGGCTAGGATCCTACGGACCCATTGTCTTTGGACATGAAGCTATTGAAGAGTTGTGCCTGGCCAGCCCAGGCAAGTCCGGGCATGTCAGGCTGAATACATTACAGTGGGAGAATTAGATGGCCACTACCTCAAGTTTCTTGTGGGTCTCTGTTTGTCTGTTTATATTTAGAATGTTTTATGCTCCCCTTCTACTGTTGAAATGAAGGCCCCATTGCTAGAAATTGTTTTTGAGATAATACTGTCTTTAGCCCACTTCTGAATTGCACCAAGAGATTTTTGCCAATCACGAATAATTTCCAGAAACATAGCAAGAGAATGACAGCACTTTCTAGTTACGTAAAATGTACTCTATTTGTGATACAGGACTTCTTAAAGAAGATTAGTGAGGATGCACAGACATACTGGATTGGACTCTTTTTTTCTTCATTAGAGAATAAATGGATGTGGATTACAGGTCATCAGTATGCGTAAGTTGTTCATTCTCCAGAATGCCTTTCCATTTAAAAAAAAAAAAACACCAAAAAACCCCCTAAAGAGTAAAACATCAGGCCAGTAAAGTTTGGGGATTATCTGTGGGTCAGTTCACATGATGCAAAGCACTTGGGTGTGATCACACTGGCGGCTTAAAATGTTGTGGGGCATATCATCCAGACAGCACACCCTGCTGCGGGTTACCCACGTGGCTGTCCCATGGTCAAGCATCCACATTACTGCAGTGCCTCAGACACGGGAGTGCGCTGCCTGGTCAGTTTTTAAAATGCAGGTGGGCACATATGCGCTCATGCATTTTTAGGCGAAAACTCCAAAAACCACCCCAGCGGCAGAAACGGATCTGCTGGTTCAGACCGCCAATCCATTTTGCGCGCACTCCCCCACATTCAGACATCCAGCTATGTGCAATGAATGCACAGGGAGCCCAAAACTTGTGGTGTGGTGCCTTTTTAACCCAGCTCCAAGTCATCCTATGACGGGGTGAGTGTGCCTGGGGAACACATGACAGATATGGCTGTGTCACTGTGCCCATTTAATCTCGAGGGGAGCGGTGGCTATGTCGGGATAACTCATGTGATCACACTAGGGTTGCCAAATTCAGATCATCCGGGAATGGGGGGCTCCCGGATGATCCCGGGCACGTGCGCGCGCGCGTCACCCGGAAGTGACGTCGCACGCTGGGGGCGGGGCCACGTGATTTGAGGGGAAAACAAAGAGTTTTCCCCTCAAATTGTGTGGCCCCGCCCCCAGCGTGCGACGTCACTTCTGGGTGACGCGCACATGGGGGTGGGGTTTCCCCCGGGCCCCGATTCCGGCGCGCCGGTAATCGGAGGTCTGAAGCGGGGGAATCCCCGCCCCCCGGCTGCATTTGGCAGCCCTAGATCACACCCCTTGTGTCTACCATGAGGACTTTATAACAGACATGTGATGGGTGTTCTTTGACTCGTCTTTGTAATGGCAGCTACACGTAAGTTTCTCAGTGGAATAAATAGCAGTTCCTCAGATGTGAAAATGAGGTGGGGGGGGGGAGGCTGAAGGCCATTCTCTTTGCATTCTGTTGCCCTGATCAGAACTGGGCCTGCGTGCATCTGAGAGGCACGGAACTGCCACAGCATGCCTGAAACAAACTCATTGTGGTGACTATGAGAACTTCGTATCATGAGAATTAGCACTGAGTACCATTTGCACCATTTCATATTAAGTGGCCCCCGTCTTTATCAGACAGGAAAAGATAGATGCTCAGATGAAGAGATGTGAAGGCCTGGGGGCGGGGGGGAACAGACGAATTTGGAGGGAAATGTTTTATCTTATATTTCTCTACTGCTCAGAAGGTTTTCTCTCTCCTCCCCCCCCCCCCATTTCTAGTGGGGGGAAAATAGTTGGGGCACATACACAAAAACCTTCTAAGAAATATATTGTCTTTTGAAATAAGATAAATGCATTTTTATACAAAGAGTATATGCACTCACAAAGTGCAGTGTGGAGATTTTTATGTAAGATGATGTAAAACATTGCAGTGCCATCCAAAGCAGATCTAAACCCATCAAAGTCTATTGAAGTAATGGGTTTAGAAGTATGTGCCCCTGTTTAGGATGGCAGAGTCAGCGAATGTGTACTGTCTTTAAAAATGCACAACACTCAGATCCAAGATGTGTTTGCATCCAGAAGGAGAGGAGTAGACAGGATCTGCTTGCTGTTCTCTAGTAACTTGGATCTCCCTGGGTGGCCTGTGGAGCCAGTAGCCTGAACCTGCTGTGCTGTTGCCCTGACGCTTCTCAAAGGACTGTGGCACAGGCACTCTTATTTTATTTACGTTGTTGTATACCACCTTTCTCACTGGGACTCAAGGCGGATTACGTGGAATAAGTAAATACAGTCAACAGGAAGGGACATCCAATAATCAGTGTGATAGGATTTGTATTGCAGAAATCTGGAACCAACCAGAAATCTGTCTTCTGTTAAGCATATTTAGAACACACAAGGCCGGGGGAGGGGACTTTGGTGTAGAAATCCCACAGAAAGGGTACTTTGCATGGCAAATGAACTCCGAGCTCAAAAAGCAAAGGGAGGCAATAACTAGTTACCCTCCCCCCCAGGAAGAACCTGGGAAAGACCCCTTTCCCAGTATGATGACAACCTTCTGCTAGTCTTGCAATATGACCAACAGCTGCAGTGACCAGTGTGCCTCTGGCTGTTCTGCTGTGGGGTTGCCAGCTCTCTCCGTCCAGCCTGGCTCCTGCACCACTACAAGCTGCTTAACCAACTACTGGCCCCGTTCACACGAGGCGTTTTGGGCCGGGAGTGGGCCAGATTGGAGACGGAGCAAACGGGCGCGATCCCGCGATCCCGTCTCCGATCTGGCCCTTTCCCCGGCTGCGGCACGTCAAAAGTGAACCACCTACCGAGGTGGTTCATCCGGATGACGCGTCTTTGCGCCGGCGCATCCCCGGCCCCTAGCCGAACTGTGCATGCTCCGACATGTCGGAGCATGCGCATGTCGGAGCATGCGCAGTTTGGCAGGCTCCCTGTCAGGGCCCTGGTTTCTCCCCGGCATCTCATCGCGCCGGGGAGAAAAGGCGCCGCAGCCAGGGGATCCGTGGGATCCCGCCGCGGTGTCTCAACTTTTAAAAGGCGCGCTTTTAGAGGCTTTTCCCCTGCCGTGTGGCAGGGGCCATTGTTTGACTAGCACAGATGTCCCTCTCCTTGGTAAGCAGGGATGCTGTGCTGTCAGTGACCTCCCTGTGATGCTGTGGTGTCCTAAGTACTGATGCCTCCTGAGATGCTGTTGTGTCAGTGCACCGGGCCAAAGCACTGGAGCCCTGCTGCAGCAAGAGACTTGGCAACCCCACTCCTCTGACTTGTTATCAGTATTCCTGACGCTCTTTCAATAAAAGTGTGGTTTGTGCATCTGTTCCATTGGGGCTTGATAGACAGGGATTGGTTTCGACCCCCAGCTTTTTTGCTGACCTCAGCTATCTTCAGCAGGCATCTCACAACTGGAGAGGGCTGAGGGGGTGGTCCAGTGGGTGTGCAGGGTATGATCTTGCAAGGAGGGCAAGAAATGAGCCCAGATTATGCCCTCCCCCAGATCACTTGTCTGATTTATTTCATTTATACCCTGACTTTCAACACAATTGGGACCCAAAGCAGCTTACATTGTTCTCGTCTCCATTTTTTATAATAATAACCATTAATTAATAACCATTGATTTTTTAAAAAGAAATCTTCACACCAAGATAACCACTAGGTTTGTGCATGTGAGGCAGCCCATCAGCGTGCGGGGCACATCTAGCCTTGCTAGGGTTGCCAGCCTCCAGGTGGGGCCTGGAGATCTCCCGCTTTTTACAACTGCTCTCCAGTTGACAGAGATAAGCTCCCCTGGAGAAAATGGCCGCTTTGAAGGGTGGACTCTATGGCATCATGCTGAGGCCCCTCCCCCCAAAAAAACCCACCCTCTCCCAGATCAACCCCCAAAGTCTCCAGGTATTTTCCCAACCCAGACCTGGCAACCCTAAGACTTGCCAACTGGCTGGAGAAAAACAACCTGTCCCTTTAATAAAGGCTTAATAGGCTACTTATAAGGTGATGCAGGGAGCTGCGGTGGCTCAAGTGGTTAAGACGCTGAACTGCAGGCTGTGGAAGGTTGGTAGTTCAGCAGTTCAAGACCCGAGTGTGCCGCATGACGGAGTGAGCTCCCGTCTCTAGTTCCAGCTCCTGCCAACCTAGCAGTTCGAAAGCAAGAAATTGCAAGTAGATAAATAGGTACCGCTTCGGTGGGAAGGTAACAGTGTTCCGTGCGCCTTGGTGTTTAGTCATGCCGGCCACATGACCACGGAAACGCCTTCAGACAGTGCTGGCTCTTCGGCTTTGAAACGGAGCTGAGCACCACAACCCTAGAGTCGGATTCGACTGGCTTTCGAGCAAGGGAACCTTTACCTTTTTTAAGGTGAGGCCATAAACAAACTTTACCCATTTCCACACTCTGAAAGGAGCAGGACATTTTTACCCCAGACCAGTTGGTAATCGTAAGGCCACCCCATGTAATTATGTTTGCTTGGGCAAAATTTCAGCCATGTGTGGGAATGTTTGCGGGGCTTCCTAGTGACGCGTGGGACTTGCTATGCCTGCAACTTCCCACTGCGCTGTGCCTTTCTCCGATGCCTGTCTCCATCGCTCCATATTTATATGGCTGGTATGTGCCCAGCAGCAGGTGTGTGATTAGAAGACTGCTCCAGGGTGTAGGAGTGGAGGCATCTACTGTGGTCTCTCCCCACTGTTCTTTTGCAGCTGCCTGGCCTGTTCCTGGGCAAAAGGCGGCATTTGCCTTCACTATCCTCCTTAGCAGGAACAGAGCCCATGCCTCCCATTGGACCCTTGGGTGCCTTTCCTTACTAGGGCATGAGGGGCTTGACGAGACCACCTTTTGTGAAAGCAGTGTTTGCACTCCCCGTTGCCTGGCCCTCTCAAGGCCCATTCATTCTTTTAAATTACAATAAATATTCAACACCAATGCTCCCTCTAAGCTATGGAGTCTTGTGAGCAAAAATTCTATTTTTGTGAGCTACTGGCAATAAGGTTGTGAGTGAGCAATTTGGTTACTGCATGAATCAGTTTGCTCAGGAGCCATCCTTCCTGAGCTAAGACAGCTGGAGGCTAAAAAAATCAGCTTAGAGGGAACACTGCTCAACACAGGAAGATTTTATGTACTAGGTTATAACTAGTTTCAGAGGGCAGTGGTGCTGGTCAGCAGTAGAGCAGGCTAGATACAAGTCCAGTACCACCTTAGAGACTAACGAGATTTTTTTAGGATATGAGCTTTTGAGTGTCTAAGGCTGTGGTCACACACACACTAAATAATTGCACAGCCGCATTTTGCCCTGCGGCTTTGCCCGATTTTCCCCGCGGCTTTGTGATCCTCAAAAAACAGGATCACAAAACCGCGAGGAAAATCGGGTGAAGCCGCGGGTCAAAATGTGGCCGCGCGGCTTCAAGTGGGAAATTGACCAATAGAAGTGGGGCAAAGGGAGGCGCGACTGCGGCGCAGCTCTTGTGTGAAATCGGTCACAGTAAAAATCTAGTTGGAAAGTGGATTGAAAGTGGATTATTTAGTGTGTGTGACTGCAGCCAAAGATTCCTTCATCAAATGAGGGATCTGATGATATCAAGAAGGGAACTTTGACTCTTGACAGCTCATACCCTGAATATCTTGTTGGTGTCTAAGGTGCTTCTGGGCTTGTTTTTTAAATAATTTATTTAAATATATTTAGTTTTGATAAAAAAATAAATATTGTATATGTTTTCGTTTCCCTTTAAACTGGAAAAAAATACTGAAAAAAAGTCCCCCCCCCCCTAGGGCTTCAACATTTCTGGAGATTTTATATAATGGTTGATACGAAAAGCACCAGGAACTGAAATGGGGAGGAAAGGCAGAGCTGGGGGGGAGAGACACACAAGTGGCTTCTTATTAGGACAGGGAAGAGTTGCCACAGCCTTAAGCCCTGGTGCGGAATTATCTTCTCCTTTCTTTTGCAGGTTCCAAGAACCACCGAGCTCTGCTGGAGATGAAAACTGCGGAGGAATAAAGAACAAAAAACCCAAATTTGATGTCTGCTCTGCTGTATATAGGTGGATTTGCCAGAAACATCCCATTTTGTTATGATACTTTAATTATTAGATGTGATCTCATTATTTGCTAGGAACCGAGCAAATGTTCTCATAGGTTATAAATAGTTTCAGAGGGTAGCCATATTGGTCTGCAGCAGAGCAGGCTAGATACAAGTCCAGTACCACCTTAGAGACTAACAAGATTTTTTTAGGGTATGAGCTTTTGAGAGCCATTTATTTGTAACCTATGAGAACATATGAGAACGTCACTATTTTTAGCAAAATACCTTGCTGTAAACGGCAGGAATCAGACTGGCCGTACATTCTGTTTCCATTTATTCATCGGCTGAAATGTTGAACTGATGTCATGGCTGTCAGGAAGCTGTGGGTTTTGATAAAAGGGACTGGGGTTGACCCAACATGCTGCCTACCCAGGCAAAGCGACATGTAGACCCAAGTGACACCCCCATTCACCCCCTCCACCCTGAACCATCTTGCAGTGGTATAGTAAATTCTGAAGTGTCTGACACCCCAGAACTAGACCTCCAGTAAGCTTATACTGCAAAGAATTAACTTCCTCCTTCACACAGAGTTCATTGGGATGAGTCATGAACCCAGGATTAGGATAGGAACCCAGATGGAGGCTCCAGCATGATGAGTCTGTGAAGATCACCACCCGTTTACTTCAGATCCGAAATCAAGCACTGATGTGAAACCCAGATGCCATTCGAACTGTTATATTTCAGGAAGCTGAAGCAAACTATTATTTATTGCATTTTATTTTATTTTGCAAATGTATTTTTGTCACCACTTGATTAGTTCATGGCAACTCTTTTAAAGATAAATCATTCTGTTTCTAAATAAAAGAGATTAACTGAGCTTGTTCACTGGTCTGGAAAAGATGACAGATGAGCAGGTTAGGCACTGGAGCAATAGGATATAGATATCCACCTTTCCCTATGAAGAACAGTTAAAGAGGTTAGGGCTCTTTAGCTTGCAGAGACAATGACTGAGGGGTGACATGATCGAGGTTTACAAAATTATCCATGGGATGGAGGAGGTAGAGAAAGAAGTACTTTTCTCCCTTTCTCACAATATCAGGGCTCTTTTTGTAGAAAAAGCCCAGCAGGAACTCATTAGCATAATAGGCCACACCCAACAGCAGGAACTCATTAGCATATTGGGCCACACCCCTGACACCACAGCTCATTAGCACATTAGACCGCACCCCCATGCTACCAGAAGTGTGGTTATCCACACCAGAAGTGTGTTATCCAGAATAACATATTTTGGTTGTTATTCTGTTTACCTTGTTTGTTGTCAAAACCCAGGGCTTTTTTTGTAGCAGGAACTCCTTTGCATGTTAGGCCACCTAATGTAGCCAATCCTAATGAGTTTCTGCTGTTGGGTGTGGCCTATTATGCTAGTGAGTTCCTGCTGGGCATGGCCAATTTGGGAGCCAGCTGGAACTCCGTTCCTGCCCAAAAATAGCCCTGCAAGAACTCATGGGAACTCAATTAAATTAATGAGTAGTAGTCTTAGAACAGATTAAAGGAAGTTGTTCCAGATTTAGAAGAAAGGGGAGCCTGTGACGGGAAAAATATATATTTTTAAAAAAATATTGGTTATTATCATAAAAGAATTAACTGCTACAGGAAGTGGTGGTGGCTACAAGCATAGAGAGCTACAAGAGGGGACTGGATAAAGGTAAAGATGGATAAAAGGTAAAGATGGAACACTGTGTCTGGGGCAGTTCTTCTCTGTATTTGTGGTGCTTGTGGGGCAACAGTAGGAGAGCTTCTGGAGTTGTGGCCAATGTTCCCTCTAAGCTGTGGAGTCTTGTGAGCAAAAATTCTACTTGGTGAGCTACTGGCATTAAAATTGTGAGTGAGTGATTTGGCTACTGCATAAGTTAATTTGCTCTGGAGCCCTTCTTCCTGAGCGAAGACAAAAATGTGTGAGCCGGAGGCTAAAAACCTGTGAGCTAGCTCATACTAACTCAGCTTAGAGGGAACACTGGTTGTGGCCCCACTGGTGGACCTGCGAACCAAAGGGATAAGCTAGCAATGTATATTATAAAAGTACAAATATTTATTATGGTGTACACATGTTAGAACATATACTGATAAAAATCTTTATCTAAGTATCAGACTTATAAAAGCTTATCAAATACTAATACTCATGATGGGTAAACACTTTCCTACTGACGACCAAACACATTTCGGCCTATTCCTTCCTTCCCTAAGGGCCTTCCTTGGTGGTCACAATTATCAATATAGTATAGACACACATTCATAGACCTGTATACAAGATCTTTAGTACTCATATATTAAAACCAGATGTTGTTTCCTGAGATTATAAAAAGAAAAAGAAAAATGGGAGTGGGGAGAGACAGAAACTTAATTATTTTTTCCAAATGTATATAAAATCATTATTGATTGAAAAATGATTCTTTCAAACATAAAATTACCCACTGGTAGACCTCCTGAGGGCACCTGGAATTTGGCTACTGTGTGACACAGAGTGTTGGACTGGATGGGCCATTGGCCTGATCCATCATGGCTTCTCTTATTATTATGATGTGACATTATCTGGATCCAACAGGAAATCTTATAAGGCAGTTCTAATACACTCACTGGATAAATGCAAAGCTCAGCTAGACCTTCAGTTTTCTTTATGTATGCCTGTGATTCAGATACATAGTTCACAGATGCATAAAACCATAGTATTTTCAAGCCATGAATACAATTGGGATTTATAGGTTGCATGATATTTAGATAAAAGAATGCACAATCTTGCCTTTCTTTGAAATAAAAAAGCAAGGTTAGCCTCTATTTCAGTATATATTTGCATATTCAGAGCAGTGTGAGGCAGATACTTTTTGTCCCTTAAAAAGTCTGAATGTATAATGCTAAGGTCAGCTAGCCAAAAGGCTGCAGCCTTGACGCAAAGATGTATACACTTAAGCAGAAATAGAAAAAAGAACTTATGTTTATAAGAGCAGATAGGAAACAGAGTTAATGACTGAGATTCTAGATGGCATATGTATTATATTACTAATGAATAGTCTAAGTCTCTGTTAAAAATTGTTTTTGGGGAAATACCCTGAAAATAATGTACAGATTGTATTATACTCTATAGAGAGAGAGTTGCTAAAATGACACTGTGGCAGAAATATAAGCGAGCCTGATACATTTCTGCATAGCAGTGTGAATTATGCCTCTTTTATTCTCTTCTCCCATAGAATTTTGCAGAGTAGCTGATGTGACATTTGTGTCAGTCAGGGTTGACCATTTTCCTAGTGCCCTTGGCCTTCCTATGTATAAAATAATAGTTGATATTTCTCTATGGTTATAATTTCCTAATCAGGCTCCCATGGATCTCCACCATGTATTCTTGGTTCGAGTCTATAGTACATGACCTACTGATAAGGTTCTTAAAATAGGTGTCACAGCTATGCGCTGTACTTCCCATGTTGTCAAAATAAAGTCAGAACAGTTAGTTTATTTGCTGAAGGCTCTTAGATTGATCCTTGATATGATAGCCATGACTCTTTATTTGACATAACATCCTCAACTATTTAAGATAAGAGTTCAGAGTGAAATTGTACTAGAGATATTCTTCTGTTAGTGTGTTAACCTTACATCAGCTATTTTGATTGAACCTATGGGACCAGAGGGTATAAACTGTTAAAGTTTTGTTTCCTCTGGGCAGGCCATCAACAGCTCCTGGTGGGACCTTGGTGACCAGTTCAGAACATTCTGTATTTCTGAAGCCCTTGGGTTTAGACAAGTGCACTAATTCAAGTATTGGGGTTTTATTAAATTATTATATGCTGAATATTGAAATGTGATGTTTTCTGTCTTAAAGATTTTTGTAATTGAGGAAGGGCTTAAAAGCTTATACTGGAATAACCTAGTTTTGTTTCTCTCTATACTAGATAGATTCAGCACCTAGCCAGTCTCCATCTAAACAATAAAAGAACTCAGGGGAACTGGAGGTCCCAGGAATAGTCCTGGGCTCCAAAATCCCACAACAGACACAACATTGAAAGTTTGCTGCAGGTGTAAGAGCCAGACCAGGTCTTTTTCCTGTTATTTTGGGGCAATGCCCAGTGGTTATGTTAGCATGAAGTTTAAAAAAAAAAAGAATTGGGGACCTGCAAGAAACTTGCGGGAGTGGCAATCCCATTCTCCCCACCTCTGCCTATTCTATCCCCCTACTTCTCTCACACTCTTTCTTCTTTCTGCCACCCCTTTTTTAACTCTCTCCCCTCCATGCCTGTCACTTCCTTTGTGCCCCCACTCCATCCCTTTTTCTGCCCGTCACTCTCCCGGCCTCCCACCTACTTCCTCCTACCCCCCATAGCAGCAGTGGCAGCAGCCACTTTTCAGGAATCATTATGGATTGCCCGAATACAGAGATCAGTTCCTCTTAGGGTTGTCAGCTCCATGTTGGGAAATGCCTGGAGATTTGGGGGTGGAGGTTTGAGCTTAGTGACCTTAGCAGGGTATAATATTATAAACTCCACCATTCAAAGCAGCAATTTTCTCCAGGGGGACCTCTGTCTCCTGGAGATCAATTGTAATTTCAGGAGATCTCCAGCCCTCATCTGGAGGTTGGCAACATTCTGGAGGAAATGACTGCATTGGAGGGTGGAGTCTATGGCATTATATCTGTCTTAAGTCCTTTCCCACCTCAATCCCCACCATCCCTAGGCTCCACCCCTCATATATCCAGGAATTTCCCAACCTGGAATTGGCACCCCTATCTCTTTCCCAGCCAACAGCCAACCTAGCTTTATCTGCCCATCTTCAGCTTTCTGTCTCCTTTCCTCCTGCAGCTTCTGCTGAGGAAAACTATGGTCTTTCTCCACAGCAGGGACTAAAGCAGTTTACATTATTCCCTCCTCCTTTTTATCCATGCAACAACCCTATGAGGTAGATTAGGCTGAATATATGTGACTCGTCCAAAATCATCCAGTGAGCTTCTACAGCAAGATGAGGATCTAAACCAGGGTCTCACAAACCCTACTCTGAAGCTCTGACCATTATA